TGGATCTAGCTATTAACGTTTGTTTAGAGGATTTCCACGACACGACTGCACCTCCCAAAGTGAAGACATATCCACTTGTGGACTTAGAGTCCTTTATGTCGGATATCCAACTAGCGTCATTATACCCTTCAAGTACAGCTGGATATCTTCCATAGTGCAGTCCAAGGTTTTGGGTTTTACGTAAATACCTCAAAACCCTTACTATTGCCTTCCAGTGTTCATCATCGGATACATCAAGGCAATATCAGGTCTGGTACAACTCATTAGATACATCAAGCTTCCAATAATCCTAGCGTATTCTACTTGAGAAATACACTCTCCACGATTTTTGGTAAGTTGTACGTTTTTATCTAATGGAGTCCTTGCCTCTTGATAATCATCCTTATTAAATTTCGTAAGGATTTTATCAACGTAATGGGATTGGCTTAGCGTAAGACCGTTAGGTCCTCTAATTATTTTAATCCCAAGGATTAAATCGGCCAGCCCCATATCCTTCATGTCAAATTTAGAATTTAACATGCTTTTGGTAGAATTAATCATTAGATTATTGCTACCCACGATGAGTATATCATCCACGTATAAACATAACATGACATAGCCGTCTACCGTGCTCTTCACATAGACGCATTTGTCACTTTCGTTTATTTTAAACCCATTAATTAACATTGCATGATCGAACTTTTCGTGCCACTGTTTAGGGGCTTGTTTCAATCCATACAATGATTTAATTAATTTACACACTTTCCTTTCTTGGCTTGGAACACGAAAGCCCTCGCGCTGTTCCATATAGATTTCTTCGTCTATATCGCCATTTAGAAAAACGGTTTTTACGTTCATTTGATGAACTTCCAATTTCCGCAATGCGGCAATTGCTAGTATCATCCTAATGGAATTTATTCTCGTCACAGGAGAATACGTGTCAAAGTAATCATGGCCCTCACGTTGCTTGTATCAAAGTAATCTGGCCTTGTACTTATCGATGGAACCGTCAGGTTTCATTTTCCGTTTGAAAATCCACTTGGATCCCAAAGGTTTATTTCCCGGAGGAAGATCAACCAATTCCCATGTGTGATTTTTAAGGATAGAATCCACCTCACTTTTGATGGCTTCTTTCCACATAGGACCTTCAGTAGACGTCACGGCTTCCGTATAAGTCCGTGACTCATTTTCTACCAAACATGTTAGAAAATCCGGTTCATTTTCTACCATACGTGTTAGAATATCCGAGTCACCTTCTACCAGGTAGGTGAGAAAATCCGGTCCGAAGGATTTTTCAAATCTAGCACGTTTGCTACGTCTGGGTTCGGGTTCTTCTCCGGATCCCTCGCTAGTATTTTCCATAGCTACATCAAATGTTCGTTTTGACGTGCTTGGTCCTTCGTTGGACTTGCATGGAAATACGTCTTCAAAGAATGAAGCATTCCTTGATTCAATTATTGTGTTTTTATGTACATCCGGATTATTCGAATCGTACACTAAAAACCGATAAGCACTACTATTTTGTGCATATCCAATAAAAATACAGTCCACCGTTTTTGGACCTATTTTTATTTTCTTAGGTGTTGGTACAAGCACCTTAGCAAGACATCCCCACACTTTTAAATATTGATAGGAAAGCCGTCTGCCTTTCCACAACTCGTACGGAGTTTTATCATATTTTTTCCGGGGAACCTTATTTAAAAGGTAATTGCTTGTCAAGATTGCTTCGCCCCACATATTTTGTGGCAAGCCTGAACTTACTAGCATCGCATTCATCATATCTTTCAATGTGCGATTCTTTCGTTCGGCAACACCGTTTGATTGAGGTGAATAGGGTGCGGTACGTTCGTGTACTATACCCACACTAGCGCAAAAGTCACCAATTGGTGCTTCATACTCACCACCTCGATCACTCCTAACCGTCTTAATTCGTCGATTAAGTTGGTTTTCCACTTCATTCTTATAAAGAATGAATTTATCGATTGCTTCGTGTTTATTTTTTAATAAATAAACGTAGCTATAGCGAGTGCTATCATCGATAAAGGTAATAAAATATTTATTACCGCCACGTGTTTGTATTGATTTAAAATCACAAACGTCACTATGAATTAATTCAAGTTGTTCCGTTTTTCTTTCAACCGATTTGAAAGACGTTTTCGTTAGTTTTGCCTCTACACAAACTTCACATTTGTGCTTCACATCAATTGTGAATTTAGGAATGTGCTCATGTTAATTAATCTACGTATAGAATTAAAATTAACATGTCCTAGTCTACCATGCCACACATTGGAAGACTCAAGCAAGTAAGCAGAAGGGATTTTATTATTATTAATAATAATAGTCGTTACATTGAGCTTAAACAGCCCGTCACATGCATACCCCTTGCCCACATACATTCCCGACTTAGACAAAACTAATTTGTCCGACTCAAAAACCATGCGGAAGCCATGTTTGTTCAACAACGAACCGGAAATCAGGTTTTTGCGTATTTCCGGAACGAACAAAACTTGGTTTAGAGTCAGCTCCTTGCCCGAAGTCATCTTCAGGACCACCTTGCCCACGCCTTCAACCGCGGAATGAGCTTAGTTACCCATCCACACTTTCTCACCATTTGATGGCTCAAAAGTTGTGAATAACTCCCGGTTTGAGCAAATGTGTCGGGTTGCACCGGTGTCCACAAACCACTCCTTGGAATTGGATCCAACGAGGTTGACTTCCGTAACCACAGCCGCTAGGATGATGTCTTCATCCTTTTGCCCACCTTGCACCAAGTTGACTTTTAGAGTCCCTCTTCTTCTTGGGTGCTTTGCAATCCGCGGACTTGTGTCCGTTTTTATTGCAATTGAAGCATTTTCCGTTGAACTTTGTCTTGGAAACGCCTCCCTTGGGACCGAGCTTGCTCTTCCCATTATTCTTGGTTTTGGAGCCTTTTGCATGCTCCACCACGTTTGCCTTGGCGCCATGAACAATTGGGAGTTTCCCATCGTTCTTCCGGTTATCCTCTTCAATCCGCAGTCGGAGGATCAATTGCTCCAAGTTCATTTCCTTTCGCTTGTGCTTAAGGTAGTTCTTGAAATCCTTCCAAGCCGGCGGCAATAAATGAATAATTGACGCCACTTGGAATGACTCACTAACCGTCATTCCTTCATCTCGAATTTCGTTGAAGATCATTTGCATCTCCTCAACTTGACTCAAGACCGTCTTCGAATCCACCATTTTAAAATCAAGGAATCGACCAACAACAAATTTCTTTGCGCCGGCATCCTCGCTTTTATATTTGTGGTCCAAAACATTCCATAGCTCCTTAGCCGTAGCTAATTTGCTATACACGTCGTACAAAGCATCATGCAGCCCGTTCAACACATAGTTTCGGCAAATGAAGTCAGAATACTTCCAAGCTTCAACCGTGTTGAAAGATTGCGCATCCCACGGTGCTAGGAGCGTTGCAACAATCGTTTCCCAGGATACGATGACTACGAACTAATGTTTGAGCACACAAACAAGAGTTCCAGCGAACGAGAACCAAGTATGAACACAGAAGGAAGTTTGCTGAGTAGCTTTAGGTGTTTTTAGCTCAAAAAATTCGTGAGGAATGTATTGTGCGTTGTCCGTTGTGCAAAGCACCTGCCAGCTATTTATAGGAGGATTTGTTCTGTGTTAAATGGGGTGTTAATGGACCTGAACGTTGGACTTCAATGACCAGTCCGTTGGGCATTGAATCATCCATAAACTGTCCATTTAACGTTGCATTAAAAGACAAGAACGTTGGACATTTAATGGTTGTAACGGCTTGGAGCAGTTCTGGTGCGCGATCAGAATACCCCCATCAGAGTTGGAGCAGTTCTGGTGCGCGATCAGAATACCTCCACCAGAGTTGGAGCAGTTCTGATGCTACCAGAAGACCTCCACCAGAGTTGGAGCAAATCTGATGCGAAGCCACCAGAGTTCGAGCAACTCTGGTCCGAAGCCACCAGAGTTCGAGCAACTCTGATCCGAAGCCACCAGAGTTCGAGCAACTCTGATCCTGGGAAAAAATAAAACGTTACGGGAAGAAACAAAAATTAGACCGTATCTTTGAATGATAGGTTTTCGGACGACATTCGTGTCCGCAGGTCGCCCGCGCACACGAGTCCTGGTTTTTCTTCTCCGTTTCGGAATTTGATCGGCACCCCCCCCCTGCGCGTAAGAGATAGCCTTTCCCTTTAGGAATCTTAACTCCTTAAAAGAGGCTTCCCTTTATAAGGGGGTGAAAATCCCTTGAGTTTTTCGGTGTGGGATAAAACACACTAGAAACTCACCATTTTCCCAGTTTTTCCATTTCAACGAGTGAACTTCGAGAATCAATTTCTCATTCACCCGTTATCCGTTTTGAGTGTACCATATATCGAATTGTAGCCCTTAACAAGGACAATCCGAAACCACTTTGACCCGACCCAAATCGGAAGTGGACCCCACTCAAATAATTTCCCCAAAAGGACCATTTAATGCAATTTTAACACATTTTTCCAACAAATCTATGCGACGAAGGGAAGTGAAACGAAACACAAAGTCGCAAACTAAGAGTCGTAGTTTTGAAGCTGTGTGACGAAGGGAAGTGACGGTTAAAGTCTGGGAAACTATCTGAAACGACGTTTTGAAGCTTTGCGACCAAGGGAAACGGCGACTTAATTCGCTTCCACCATCGATTGGGATCGATTTCAAGATCGATTAAGAACGATTCTGAAGAGCGATTGGGTACGACTCCAAGACCGTATCGCATATCGTTCCGGCAATCGACCGGATCGTTTTCTTACAACAATTCGGTACGGAACGATCTGTACGGAGTTCGCGGTAGTTCTAACGATTTATGTTTCTATGGGGTGAACAAATGAGCAAAGCCGACTAAAATCCTTTACCCTTCAAATAGGGTCAAATTGGTATACAAGGCCTAAGACTACTTTTCCTATAAATTAGTTTTTTAGGATGAAAAATCCTAGTCTTAACATTTAGAATACTCACTAAGCTAATTTAGATAAACGTACCATCATCTTTGTTGTATCCTGATGTTTCTTGATCAAGAGTGCTTAGATCACTTGATATTGATTGATTGTCTGATGACAGTTCAGAAACTTCAGGAAGGAGAATCTTCTCTATCGCTTCTCGTACGAGCTTAATGGCAATAAGCTTCTTGACTTCGATCTCATTCTCGCCATCCTGATCTGCATTTTCCATTTCTGTGCTGCAAGAATCTGAACTTTCTGGTGCAGCCACCTGTTGGAAATCATATGCTGTTGGAAAAGGTTCCACATGTTGAAATGCTTCTCCTTCTTAGTTGAGGACTTGGATTCATAATCTACAAGTCGTGCACGACTCTTCGGTTCAGATTTTCCAGCTGAACTTGGCTGGGAAATTATGCCCTAAGTCTAATTTGGCTTTATTAGACAGATGGATGTTTCGTTTCACACAGCTATCCTCTATGTTTGAGGTAGCTATGAGATTTGGACTATTTCTCCTATCGGGATTTGACAAAGTCTTTGGTCGAGTGTCATGAGAATGTTTATTGAGACAGCAATGATGGTATGAACAAACTTTATATGCTGATAGTCTTTCCGAGTCGACCCTTTCGGGAAACTTTGAATTCTTGATGGTTGAAGCACAAGTTGATTTAACACGCACAGAACACTTCCTGGGTTTGAAACTAAGCCTCACACCTCTCATGCTAAAAGTCCTCATCAATGATTTAAACTTGTTTGGTTGAGCATCAACAGTTGACTGTCACCACTATTATCCAAATTAGATTCAGAACCATGGGGACTTGCCTGGAAACTCCCTTCTGTTTTTTTTTGGATGAACCGTAAATATATATATCATCCAAAGTAAAGGTTACAAAATTTAAAGTTCCCCCCACCCCTCCTGTTAAGATGGGAGAGGGTTGGAAGAAGCTTTCACATCAAGTCGGACATCACAAAAGGTAGCCACAAGGCTCAAACATGCCGCGGCTCATAAAATCAAAAACAGAAACTGTGAACAATTGAATAATAATTGGGTTCATAATGAAAGAGTATTTATATACAAGATGTTAGGGTTCCCTAAGGAGTCTCCTTAAGGCCCAATAAATAATAAACTCCTTAAACACTTAATTAATAATTATTTTTGATTACATAAAATAATATCCTTAATACCCCCCGGCAAGCTCAAGGTGGCAACGCGACATGGAGCTTGGAACGGAGAGTTTGAAAGCGTGAATTCCCAACGACTTTGGTGAAGATATAGGCAACCTGATCCGAGGCACGAACGTGACGAACAACAAGAGACCCATCAGCAACCTGTTCGCGAACAAAATGGTAATCAATTTTGATATGTTTGGATCGTTGATGGAAAACCGGATTGGCAGTCATATAAGTGGCACTGAGATTGTCACACAAAAGAATCGGTGGAGCATGAAGAGGGGCATGTAGCTCACGTAGAAGCTGTTGTATCCAGATTAACTCTGTGGAGGTGAAGGCAATGGCACGATACTCGGCTTCAGAGCTGGATTTGGCAACAACATGCTGCTTCTTGGAGGCCCAACTAACTAAATTGCCACCATAATATACGGCAAAGCCATGCTGAGAGCGACAATCATCAATATCGAAAGCCCAACCTGCATCCGAAAAGGCTACAATACGATTATCCGTGCATGGCCGAAGGTGTAGGCCAGTGGTAATGGTCCCCTTGAGACAGCGTAGAAGGCGCTTGACAGCTTGCCAATGAGTTACTGTGGGAGCATGTATGAATTGGCAAACACGATTAACTGCATAAGAAATCTCTGGCCGAGTGATAGTAACATATTGCAAGGCACCAACAATGTTGCGGTAGAGATGAGGATCATCCATTGGGTCTCCTGAGGCCGAGAGTCGTGAACCTGGTTCGGCAGGGGAGAGAATAGATCGGGCATCCTGCATTTTGCTGCGAATAAGCAGTTCTGTGATGTACTTCTGCTGGCTCAAAAAGATAGATGAAGTGGATCGATGTAATTCAATACCAAGAAAGTAATGCAAGTCACCCAGGTCACGTAAAGTAAATGTAGCATTGAGACTAGTGACAAAGGCATCAATCTCAGAAGAATTGGAACCAGTGATGACTAAGTCATCTACATAAACTAAAACATAGAGAGTGGTACCATTATGGCGTCGAATGTAAAGTGATGTATCCGATGTGCAGGGTCGGAAATGATGATGAGAGAGATACTGACGAAGCTCATGGAACCAGGCGCGAGGGGCCTGCTTGAGACCATATAATGCCTTGCGCAAGAGACACACATGCCCAGGACGAGATTGATCCACAAAGCCAGGAGGTTGAGCCATATACACTGTTTCACTGAGATCCCCATTAAGAAAAGCATTGGCAATGTCAACCTGTCGTAACTTCCAACCAAAAGTGAGAGCAAGAGATAATACAATACGAATTGTGGTGGGTTTTACCACCGGACTAAAAGTGTCAGAGTAGTCAACTCCTTCTTCCTGATTAAAGCCCTTTGCAACCAATCGAGCTTTGTAGCGCTCAATCGTGCCATCAGCGTGCTTTTTGACCCTGTACACCCACTTACAACCAACAATGTTAGAATTACGAGGAGGTAAGATAAGATCCCAAGTCCCATTTTTTATTAGAGCATCGTACTCAACCTGCATTGCATGTTGCCATTCAGGATATTTGGAGGCCTGAGAAAAAGTGTTGGGTTCAATAGGAATAGATGCGGGTATAGTAAGAGGATGTTTGGTAGACAAATGAGTCTTGGGTTTGAGGGTGTTCGTTTTTGAGCGGGTGACCATAGAATGAGTTGAAGTGTCAACAGGTCTAAAATAGGTGGGAATAGAGTGAGGAGGGATACCTGAGTTTTGCTTGGGACCTGGCGGAGACGGAGGGGCATCACTGGAGCATGGAGACGGACTGGCCGCGGTTAGAGTAAATGGTTCCCTGTCGGACAGTGGAGGGGAGGCAGTGGTTTGATGGTTGGGTGATGAGGAGGCATTAGTGAGAGGGCTGGTGGGAGGTGGAGGCGGCTGGTAGTTATCGGCCAGTGGGGTTGAGGCTGCCAGTCGCAGCGGCTGTAGAGAGGGAAGGGAGGAGGGTGGGGCAGCAGTGGGGGGTGGATGGTGGACGTGAAGTTGGTACGGAAAGGACGTCTCATCAAACACAACATGGCGGACAATATAGATACGGTTTGTAGGAACATGAAGACACTGATAACCCCGATGTTGTGAACTATAACCAATAAAAATACAGGGGGAAGAGCGAAACTCAAGTTTTGAGTTATTATATGGACGTAAAAGAGGATAGCAAAGACACCCAAAGGATTTGAAAAAGGAGTAGTCGGGTGGTTTGCCATATAAACATTCAAAGGGGGATTTGTCTTTTAAAAGCGGGGTTAACGTGCGATTATGCAAATACACACTTGTGTGAAAAGCATGTTCCCAAAATGATTGAGGCATATTAGCATGAGCGAGTAGGGCCAAGCCTTTTTCAAGGATAGTACGGTGGCGACGCTCTGCTGCCCCATTTTGGGATTGAGTGTGAGGACAGGAAACACGGTGAATAATACCTTGCGTTTGTAAATATGAGGAAACAGATCTATATTCACCACCCCAATCAGATTGAAATTGTTTGATTTTAGTATTAAATTGAGTGGTAATCATAGCTTGAAAATATTGAAAAATAGAAAGAACTTGAGATTTTTGGTGTAAAAAGAAAATCCAAACAAATTTTGTGCAATCATCAACAAAAATAACAAAATATTTACTTCCATTAAAAGAGGTTATGGGTGCAGGTCCCCACACATCAGAATATATTAAATCAAAGGGATGTAAACTAGAGGAATGTAAACGTTGTAGGGGAAGTCTATGACTTTTCCCTAAGTGACAAGGTTCACAAAGTTTGTGTAATTTATTACTGGAAACAGGTAAATTAAAACGAGAGACTAAACGACGTAAAGATGACTCGTGGGGATGTCCAAAGCGATGATGCCATGTTTGAAGAGACGTCTTTTCACCAAGATAAATGCGAGGAGAAATGGGCTTGTCCAAGGGTTGTTGGAGATGATATAGTCCGTTCTCAACGCGTCCTATGAGCAACGTCCGTCCCTGGAGGTCCTTAACAAAACAACAAGTGGGATAAAAGACCATATAAACATTGTTATCACGGGTTAGTTGAGAAACACTAAGTAAATTTTTCTTGATGTGAGGAATAAAGAGAATGTTATTAAGATGAATGGGAGCATGCGATGCTTGTAAAGTCGAATGTCCTAAGTGAGTTATGGGCAGAGACATACCATTACCAACTTGTAATCCTTCATTGCCAGAGTAATTAGAGTGAACAGAAAGATTACCAAAGTCTGCCGTGACATGATTCGTTGCACCGGAATCAAAACACCAAGGATCAACTATAGTGGAAGGAGGATTTTGAACAGTGTAGGCATGCCGGGCAGGAGGTGACAGAAAATTGGCAGGAGGAGAAGGCTGGGAATGATAGGCCGTAGGCGTGGGTGACTGTGAGGAGCCGCGACTGGAGCCCGATCGCTGCAACTGTCCACGACGGTGCTGACCGCGCCTGGGCTGTGTCCTTGGTTTTGTTTCAGGGAAGGAGTCAAAATTCGCCCGATGCCAGCAGTTAATGGCTTCATGTCCTGGTTTTTGGCAGATTTGACAAATGAGGCGAGCACCGGTTTCAGAAGTAGACCCACGAGCAGAGGAAGTAGTACTTCCCGACGTGGTTGCTGCAAGGGCACTGGCCGTTAATGGAGCCAGTTTTTCCGAGTTGAGTCGCTCCTCTTCACGCAACAAGAGGCCGAGAAGATCGCTGGAGGTAATAACATCAGTGTGCAAATTGAAGGCACTGCGGAAAGCAGAATAAGAGGCATCGAGACTGTGAAGAATGCTTTCAACAAATTCATCGTCAGGAACAATATAGTCACATTCGGCCAGGGCATCCGAAAAGGAACGCTTCTTCTCGACGTACTCAAGAATGGATAAGTCACCTTTGGGAAATTGTTGAAGCTGAGTCTTGAGATGCATACGTCTTGCCCGATTTTGTGAATAAAACATTCTGGACAGAATGTCCCATGCTTCATGGGTGGTTGTGGCACGAAAAACATGGGCTAGCAGCGGCATAGTCAGCGTGGATCGAATCCACAATAAAATGAGACGATCTTTCTTCCTCCAAGAAAGATATGCAGGATTGACATCCTGGGAAGGTGTAGAAGGCGTGGCCGTGGGAAGAAGCTGCGATGGCATGGAGTGAGAAGACAGAAAATCATCAAGCTCAAAAGCTTCAAGAGCCGAGCGAATTGTTTGACGCCATAGCATGTAGTTGGAGCGATCAAGAAGAATATTGATTTTGGGTAGATTAATAGAAAGGGGTGCCGTGGATCCGGATGCAAGGGAAAGAGGATGGCCGGAGTTCTCATCACGTTGCATGTCACGGATGGAGGGATCCTCATCCGAGTCAGACATGAGGGCAGCGGCGGAAGGTGAGAAAACCTAGGCTGATACCATGTGAACAATTGAATATTAATTGGGTTTGTAACCTTACGTTTATTTCATAATGAAAGAGTATTTATATACAAGATGTTAGGGTTCCCTAAGGAGTCTCCTTAAGGCCCAATAAATAATAAACTCCTTAAACACTTATTTAATAATTATTTTTGATTACATAAAATAATATCCTTAATAGAAACAGAATAGATATGCAGCTTGGTGCACGCATACAACACTTCAGATCAATGTACCGAGGCTACCTAAACAGTCCATAGTGATCTTATCAAAAGGTGATCAACTCATGTGGGTATATGCTGTAGAGTACCTTATATACCACATGTTTGACCTTAGCAATAACCGCCTCCTCCATCTATGTTATTAGGCAAGGAAGAATTCGACTTCTCTTCTGAAACTAAAGTAGGCTTCTTCTTCATTCTCGTTCTCCCCTTTCTTCTGAACGATATTGTGCCCCTGAAATTCTGTGTCGTGCCTTTTACTGCTTTTAGGCTTTTGATTTTGTTGTCTGACGTTGAAGAAGACTTAGACAACGGATCATCTCCTCCCTATCACAACTCAAAAGACCCATTTTTTAATGATAAATCTCACTTCAAATCAGTATAAACAAATAAATATACAAAACCAACGTATAAAGACTTAGTGTAATACATTGCTGAAAAGAGAGAGCTAAAATCATACCAGTGATCTTTCTTTCTTTGCATCAAAGCAGGCAGTGGTCTTCATGAAATGATTAGAATGAGGGGAGGAATCTGGCATTTGATCGAACAGGACTCGTACTGGTATAGCTGGTCTGCACTTTTACGGATCTCTCTCTTGATGTAAGGAAATCAGAAGGCAGAAGAGTTTTATTGAGTCAACTGGCATTTCACACCATTATGATTTCTCCAGTATAATACTAATATATCAACCAGCCAACCAACTTCTCTCTACCTTTCCTTTTAAGACGGACGATGTTGAAATAATCAATGGTATTACAATCATATCTTTTTTTGTAAACGGCATTAATGAATGGTTAAATTCTGGTAGTAAGCTTGTCCTTTCTACAACAACAAAAATTGTTCTACATAAATTAATGAAAAGAGATATTTTTGAATGGAGATTATTGGCAGGC